TGTCATTTTCCTCTACTTCTTTTGTATGTTTGTCACTCTCTTGTGACCTGCTATTTCCGGGGTGCCTTGATAGTCGAAGCAGACCTTGTGCTGTTGAAGCTAGAGAGGTGAGCAGAGTAAGCCTGATTCCCTCTAAAGACTTCTCTGTTGACACCCACCCCTTGGCGCTCATATAAACTTATGCAGTTGCAAGCGCCGTAAAACCCTCTACTATAATAATAATAAAATGTATCGACGCCGTTCTCTGCCCTCCAGCCCCAACAAAACATTTTCTGGTCAAGTAGCCCGGAAACCACATTGCCTAAAAATCGACTTTTTATGCTTTCCAGTGGCCGCAGATCTTTCTTCATAACACAGCTTTTCGGTGTGAAGATCGGACTGTAAATATCTTATCATTAATAACTTTACAGTCCGATCCTCCCGTCGAAAATGACGAAGAAAGATCTGCGGCCACGAGAAAGCAAAAAACGTCGATTTAAAAAAAACCGGGGTACAGATCTAGGGGTTTCTTGAATTGAACCATTGATATGAAAGTAAACTTTCGAAATTCCTTCGTATTATAAATCCCACCGTGGAAAGGATTTGGCATCAGGAGGCCAGTCGGCTCTGCAGACTTCTACGTGAACGGAGCAAAAAATCAGCCCGGATGTCCGCCTGCCCCCTTCAACCTCGGTCATATCATTGCAAATTTATCAGGTAAATACTCACACGACATTTTGTGCAGCATTCAACCTCGTAAAATGATTAACAGTTTCACACATTTGGGAAGAATATGTCGAATTTAATCAGCATACATGTTAAATATTATTATTTACCTTCTTCTATGACCTTTTTAACAGTAGGAACCGACAAAATGTCTTTTGTATAGGAAAAGAAAATCTAGCTTTGGAAAATAATATGAATAAACAGTATACAATGTAAAATTGTAACCAACGTACGAACACATTTTTTACTAACATAATATATTTTTGTATGTGTCCATCCTTTTGGTCAGTCAGAAATTTCCCATTTTCAAACATGTATTTAGCGCTAAAATCACCAAACTGTGTTGATGGTACCATAAAAGTGATTTCAAACAAACAAGTAAACAAGCATTAGCATTACATTACATAGAAGACAATGATACCATGGGGTCCACGCCAATAGCTAGTAGGTCCTGTTACTTATCTTTCCCTCTGTTATTTCTCTCTATCTTAGTGTTTTACTTTCCCTACAGGTCCACTGCCGTGTCAATGCATTTCTCTATACAATGTACTCAAGCAAACAGTAAAGCTATGTCATTATGGAGAATTTGTAAGACGGAATGAAAGATTTCGCAAAGGAAACCCTGACGAACAGAGATACCCCTTTTTGTACTGATTATGATTTTCACTTTTATCGAATTTGTTTGCGAAATGCACGCTTAGAGAATTATTTAGAAATCGAGCCAAAATCATGAAAACATTGCTCTACACTCGTAGAATGTTGTGGTTTGAGAAAGTTTTCTTCTTTTTCGCGCATTATTGTTGTTGTTGTTGCGATTTGGGGATCTCTTCACATTACTGGGGGTGGGGGGGGGAGAGAAGAAGGCATGTTTGCAAAGTATTTGTTTCTTACGAATTTAGGGTAAAAAAGTGGGATTTCAAATGCATTGTCAGCAAGTTATTGTACTGCCTGGTTTCGGTACGTGATCTATTTCCCATTGATGAGTTTCTTTCCAAGCAGCGCTCATCACTTCTTTGAAACACTTTTTTTCTGCGCGATTTTTTTTGTGGTTGGTGTATGCACTTTGTACGTACATAACAGTCAATATTGTTCTAGTTAAAAATTAACATCTTTGGGGTCCAAGGATGTGTGTATGGATGGTGGTGTACGTATGTGTGTAAGTTCGTATATGTGTGTGTGTGTGTGTGTGTGTGTGTGTGTGTGTTTGTGTGTTTGTGTGTTTGAGTGTGTGTGTGTGTGTGTGTTTGTGTGTGTGTGTGAGTGTGTATGCGCGGTGCGTCCGCCTGTGTCCGTGTGTTTGTGCTCGCGCTCTGCGGTAGGTGGGGTTGCATTATAAGAATTCAAAAATATTATAAGCACTAACTATACCCGTTTCAGTAGTTATCAAAATGACAGTAATAGCTGATTCGAATAAAAGAAAAGTGACAGAAACTCTTCTCTAGCATAGCTGAAAGCTTTAAATCGATGTTTGTGGTGTAATGGTTAGGCGCTTCACAATTGCATGCAGGAGATCCGAGTTCAATTCCTGAGTGGGGAGAATATTTTTATCGAGAGTATTTCGGCGCTTCTGCTAGGATGTTGTATCCCTCTTAGCTCTTTATGGTCCTAACAGGCATCTGTGTTGATACTACCTTAAAATACCAACTCAACGTTAAAAAAATCGAGAGGCATGGTCGGAAGCGCCCACCTCCTAATTGATCTAAATTGTGTTCACGGGGCGGAGAGTGTTGTAAAGCCACCTACATTTGAAAAAAAAAACCCCAAAAATCATCAACCAGAAAGCTTTAATGAAAATAATAAATAGCATTTGTAGCTTACATACAATGTACCTCTTCGCTTACTCTCTATACAGAAATGCTGTGCAGCCACCGTCGCTCCGTGACGCTATTCATCAACTCTGTGAACAAGTGTCAGTTCCGCCCAGACAATGGCGGTACGTAACATTTCATCTGTTCCTTTAAAGAGCTGTAAATGACCCAAAAGAGACCGCAGAGAAAGATAAGATGGCGGATGGTGGGAAGAGTTTGGGAGAGAGAGAATAGGGAAATTTTGGGGAAGGGGAAAGGAGGAGGGGGAAAGACCAAAGCGTGAAGGTATTTGGGGCGGAGGGGGGGGGCAAGGGGTTGAATTGCTAAGGGTGATTCAAGTTCTGTTTCTGTTTAGAGATATATTGTCCTCGTGGGTCTGGTGTTCATTAATCAGGACCAGGTGGCCTTGAGCACTGCTGAGAAATAATCCATGTTGTTCAGGTGGGTGATAGAAAAAAACACACATAACCTAAATGAGCAAGCATTTTTCCTGTTGCCTACAAGTATGAGATGAAAACCAGTTCTTTATCATCTTTATCATTTTAACATCATTTCATGACATTGCCATGTTTATATCTTGACTACTGGAAACCAATTCTGTAAGTTCGTCTCAAACATTTGACACAATATTATTGTTAGAAATGTTAAAACGGCCAAATTTTAGGGTTTGGCTACCTTCAGAAATTGTTTGATGAGTCATGCCAATTTGATCCAAACCCAAAATTAGCCCAGGCTTTTCGCTGTGAGTTGCAAGATGTCAAAATTCTGCGTACATGAGTACATTGCAGTTTCATGTCACAGAAACAGGTCCTTTATAAGGCTTTCAGCATTTTCAATTTGTGTGGGTAAGAGTCTTCTTAAGCCCCCCCCCCCCCTTCCCCCTTTATTAAATAAGATAAAAAGCGGTTTAGGTGAATAACGTCATAGCACCACATGTAGCCGCCCAGTGAGTGGAGACTCCGGCGGTAATAGGTTATTTCCCGTCACTATAATGGCTGTTAAATCGGCGTCTGTGGTGTAGCGATTAGACGCTTGCATTCTACGAGCAGGGGACACGAATTTGATTACCGAATGGGAAGAACATTCATTATCAGGTATCTCGATGTTTCTACTGGGATGTATCACTCTCAGCTTGGATTGGCCCAGACAAGCAGGGTCGAAAGCCCGACTTCTAAATGGGCTATATTGTGTCCTTAGGGGCATAAAAGACATACCTTTAAAAAAAATAAAAATGACTGTTACTTTAACCGAGTGTTTGTCTATATCTCAAACTGAAGCTATAGCAGGTACTGATGGCTGTCTGATGGGATTCGATGCTGGACCAGAATGTCGAGGACATCTTGATGTCACCACGACAGACACAGATCCCTACTGCTGAAGTAAGCTATCTGAAAATACGTGTTCACGTTGTTTTCTCAACAAATTAGTCGTCGGTGAGAAGAAATACGTGACGTTGTTGGTTTTTGTTGTTGTTGTTGGTTTTTTTGCAAATTATAAGCTCAAGTATAGCTACTTTTCGTTAACACAAAGGTATTTTGGTGTTTTTCTTACTTATTTCCTAAAAGTTAAAGCCATAAGAGAGACGTCAGTAATTTCTGCTTGTTTCTTTTGGTAGAAACTTGGGTACCAAAGGATTTGGGGTCAAAATATAGACTTGGAGATATCTCGTTTGAGTTGCTAGTAAGCAGACTGTGAAGTAGATTTGCAGAGGAGAGTTGGGAGAGGAGATCGAGGACAGGGCCGTGTGATTTCTGGCATTTTTTATTCATCTCTGTGGTCAGTACCGTGCTTGGGGGTGTTGTGAGTATGTATTATGTGTGTGTAAGTTTGGGGGTGGGGCGGGGGGTCTTTCCTGCAAAGTACTCTTTTCTATTCAGATCTGCTTGTTGTCATGGGTGTTTGGATAGCAGTTTCGAGTCTGGCTAGTTGATTAATAATTAATTAAATGGTGTGAAACCCGTAGGATTCAAGTGATCAACTGGGAGGCCCATAACATACGAAAAATGGAACATTTTGGTGACGTTGGGTTTTTTTATTCAAATTTTTTTCAAATAATTCACTAGATATCATTCAAGAAGGAAAGCATACTATTCAGTTCAAGTATCAGTACCATTTCTCTTTCAACAATCAGTGTCTAAAACTGTTTTTCACGAGTCGTGACACACTTGTAGCATGAAGTTGTTGCCCTTTCCTTATACTGTCGAATCCACGCCATTGTATTCTTTTATTTGAAAAATATGTCATGAACATTCGAATTAACACTTCGTATGTGTTTTTATTTCAGATTAGGCGTAGTGTATGCAAAAGCACAAGTTCATCGTGTTAACCCAAAGTTTCCCATTCGACTGAATGGCCTTACAGAAGTTGTATCGTCAATGTACAAATTGCTCAGTATTAAACTATTTCTACATTGTACTTTATCTTGAGTTCCGTTCTTGCACCCATTTGGTTCTGATGTAATGGAGGCTTCCGTGCATTTTATTTGTTTGGGAGTTGTTTAAGGCCACGTGTAAGCCAAAGCAGATATGACAATGTTGTTGTTGTTATTGTAGTTTTATTTTGTTTTGGTGGGGAGGAGCCAGATCGGTCTGTTGGTGTCCAGCGTGCGAGTCCACCAAAGTGTGAATAGCTCTGACGACATTGTGTTATTTCTCGTCATCTGGCTACAAATAGCCAAGAGTTCAATGTACGCTAGACGAAATAATATATATATATGAAATGGTTCCAAAAATGTGTTTTTGTAAAATTATTTTTATTTATTTAGACCAGGTGATGTTTGCGTAGACTTTACTAATTTTGAAACGCTGATTACAACATTTAGATTTTAATCCAAACTGACAATGAGCCACATAATTAATGAAAAAGGGTAAGGGAAACTTCTAATAATCTCCATGACAAAAATTGAGAGACGGGGAGAGAGAGAGGGGGGCGGAAAGACCGAAATGAGATAAGAGCAGAGAGCAAGCAAGGGCAAGAGAGAGTGCGAGAGTGGGCGAGAGTGAGCGAGAGTGAGCGAGAGAGAGAAAGACAGAGAGAGAGAG